AATAATATATATTTTTAATTCCTAAATGGTATTGTTAATATAAAATAATATTTTCACTAAGTGCAAAATACTCTACAAGGCATATTGTATCTCTCTACCCCTAAGGAAACACAATTATAAATTAGGAACAAATGCCTCTTTCTCTTTTTTTAGCGTTTACATTTTAGGATTTCTGCACGTAAGTAGCTAGGGAAATTTATTTCTGAGAAAGCAGATCAAGGATGTCATCTTACTCTGAGACTCTAAAGATTCCATGATATGCTAGTTTTTCACAACGGTCCCTCTCCAAGTTTCCCAAATTCAGAACTCTTTTGTTGGCAATGTGTAAAACCAATTGGTTTAGTCTGAGTCATGTTGAAACCCTCAAGGATTAATTATTCGATGATTTTCTGGTGTCTGTGAGGAGCATAAATGGATATGTGCCAGGTTACAAACCAAAAGGTTGGTGATGGGGACCCACCTAGAGGTGCCATGGAGGAAGGCCCTCAAACAACCTGTTTTGAAAGATCCGAAATTCAACTACTATTGAAAATGTTATGTTCTACTCTGAAACACTTGGGGTTGCCAGGAGTCCGACTTCTGGTCCTAGTTCCTTTTTTAATGCAGGGCTGTACCTGTTGTTTTAAATGCCTTACTCGGAGGCTGAAAGTCAGCAATTTCTACAATTAAGTATGTAACAACTATTTTATATTGACAATAAGAATAGAAGTCGAGGCAAATAGGGTTGTTCAAAGGTGTCCTGGTAGCACCAGGGGCTGTAAACATTGGCTGCTGATGACAAGATTGGTGGTTCAAAGCTACCAGCCATTCTGTAGGAGAAAGATGAGGCTGTCTGTTCCCATACAGATTTGCAGTCTTGGAAACGCTACACAGGGTCACTAGGAGTCAGAATCAACTCAATGGCAGTGTGTTTGGGTTTGCGGGGCTTGTCCAAGGTAAAGTCTAAGGCTCAAAATACCCAGTTCCTATTTCCCTCTCCCCCTGGGGTCAAATAGAGCAGGGTGGCAAGTAGCGGGAACATTTTTCCCCTAGGAAATGCATTTGGAATGCTTTTCCAAAAAACCAAACTCACTGCTATCAAGTCCGTCTGACTCTTAGTCACGCTACAGAGTAGGGTAGACCCAGCCCGTGAGTGCTCAAGACTGTAACTCGTGATCAAAGTAGAAAGTCTTGTCTTCTCCTGCAGATGGGCTGCTGGTCTCAAACTGCTGGCCTTGAAATGATCAAAATTCAGCCATCCTGAAACAGCTATTGCTCAGGTATTTCTAGCTGACAACCACCCACCCCCCCTTGTTAGCAGTTTAGTGTGACTTAAGCTGCCATTCTTTCTGTTAAGGCCTCTGCTATGGATAAGGCTTTTTCTGAAAGTAGCTTTGAGCCTCAGATGAGAGGGACCAAATAGCTGCCTGTTGCTCTTTTAAGACCTTTCTATATGAATTACTATGAAATGATAAAAACCGTGTGTGCTTTCTCCAATGGCTAAGTCAGTGCTTTCATAATATCTACCCCGACCACCCACTGCGACGGGGCTCCTTCTCACCCCCAGACACCCCAGACACCCTGTAGCATAGAGTAGAATTATTCCCTAGGGTTTCTTAAGACTGTACATCTTTATCAGAGCAGATGGCTCATCTTCCTCTGGCTCATAATATCTACCATTTCGATAATGCCTACTACAGTTGTGCGTGCGTGCGTG